GGAGAGGAGAGGAGAGGAGAGGAGAGGAGAGGAGGCAGAATAAAAGGCTCATTTTCCAAAGGCAATTACAAAAACTTGGACCTTTTCCAGGCAGGTGTGTGCAGGGAAGCAGCCCGGCAAGGCCGCAGCCTCTTTGGAGGCCACAAAGCCAAGCCCTGCTGCCGGGCTCCGGCTGAGGCCGGCTCTAAGGGCAGCGGCAGGGAGGCAGGAGGCCCCGGTGAGAGGCGTGAGCGGGGAGGCCGCCGGGAAGTGGTCGCGCTCGGCSGCGCTGCCTCCGTTTCCCTAAATATCAGCGGAGGCGCCGGGGAGGCTGGGGGCAGGAGGGGGCCCCGGCGCCCCCGCGCACGTAGGCGCCGTGCCGGGGCGGCCGCAAGGCGGGAAGGGAGGCCGCTGGGCCGCGAGGAATGGGAAGGACCGGGAGCTGCGGCGGGAGGCACCTGCCCTGCGCCCTGCGCGGTGCCAGGGCCCGGGGTTAATGATTGAGCAGGGCAGGCGCCTGCGCCGTGGGGCATCCTTGCAGCCGGAGCCTCGGGATGGGCCGGGAGCCTCGGGACAGGGCGCACAGGGAAGGAGCCAGCCCGGGAGCCAGCCCGGGAATCGGAGGGGCTGCCCTGGGTGGTCTCCAAGGGGGACAATCCCCGAGGTCCCCGCAAGGCCGACCCCTCCGTGCAGCTCCTGGCTTTGCCCGGGCTGCTCCCAAACCCGCCTGGCCGAGGAGGGAAGGGAATCAGAAATAATCCCCCGGGAGGAGCCGTGCAGCCCACGCGCGGCAGCTCCRCGCCGGCGGCTGACTCAGGCCCCGGGGGAAAGCGAGTGTTCCCGGCGCGGGGACGCGCTGTTCATCCGGAGCCGGCGCGGGGMCGGCGCGCGGACCATCTGCGGAGGCAGCTCTGGCGCCAGCGCATCCCTGGTGACGCCGGGACAGGGCACGGGCTCGTGGTGGCCCCCGCAGCGCCAGGATGGCAGCGGGAAGCTGCCTGACGCTTCAGCACCGCGTTGTGGGGGGCCCGTCAACCCTCACGACTGCCAAGGGAGCTAGTGCTGGGTCTGGGGGGGCATCCGGAGCCCCCCAACCAGGGGTGATCGGCGCAGGTCCCGCACTCGGCGCTGGGGGGAYGACGCAGGGACAGGAGACGGGGCCGGGTGTCACCCCCACAGCCGGGCAGCAGCCTCAGCCCCGAAACGGAGCTCCCAAAGGTTGCTAAAACCCGGGATGAGCCGGAGGCTCCGGTCAGGAGGGAAGCGGCTTCCYGGGAAGCGGGCGGGTGTTTTTCCCGGCTGGCGGCAGCGCTCTCGGGAAGCGGCAGGTCCCGAGCATCACCGTCACCAAGCAACCCGCGGCGAATCCGCGTGCCCCAGGGCTGTGCCGCAGGGAACAGCGAGGCGCCAGGTCGGAAAGAAGCCCCGGGATGAGGGATGGGTGTCGGGAATCGCTCCTGGCCCCCGCGAGTGGCGGGAAAGCGGCTCCCATCCCGCGGGCCAAGCAGAGTCCCGGGTCAGGGAACCGCAAAGCCGAGCGCGCTGCTGCCTGCCTCGGCCCGCGGCCGCATCCCAGGGCCCCGGCCCCGACCTCACCCCAGCTCGGGAGGAATTTGGCATTTCTTTGGGTCGCGTTTTGGGGGAAAATATTCCCTGCGGTTTAAGGAAAAGGCTGGTGGTGCCAGTCACCGGCTGCTCCGCCGGCATGTCCCCAGAAGAGAAAACCACATTTTTTTTCCCTTCCAAAACTTTCTAACCTTTCTCTCGGGAAATGCAAGAGGTTAAAACGCGTTTCTAAGCACCAAATATCCCGTTCCAGCTGCCTCCTTCCCCCCGATCCACCCGAGCCGGGCCGGAGGTGCTGAGCTCCCCTATTTGAGCAGCAGGAAGGGTTTGGACGGGGGAATTTCCAGCCCCCGAGGTGCCGCCGCTTCGGCCTTTGGAGATAACAACGAGCAGAGAAGCTGCCGTCGCTGCCGGCTGGAAATTCCAGCTTTGGGGAGCTTGGGAGACACCTTCCCCTTGTGCCGGCTGCTCACGGCGAGCACAATTGCCCCCAAACTATATATATTTTTGCAATGTCTTCTTCTTTCCGGAAGGAAACCTTGCAAGCCGAACATGTGCAAACCGGAATAAAAACGGCAAACCCGAAGCGACTCGGCGTCCCGGGGCCCCGCGCTCCCGCTTCCTCCTTTGGGCCGGTTCCCCAAAGCGGGCGGCCGCCCCCGGAGACGGGTCCCGTCTCGGCAAGGGGCCCGCGGCGCCGGGGTCGCTCGCCCACCTGCGTGCCTGGAGGCCGGGGCGCGAGGGAGGCCGGAGGCGAGGCCGCACGCGGAAGCGGTGCCCTCGGCAGCGGCGCGCGTGAGTAATCGCTGCACCCAGGGAGCGYGC